ATTTCTATCGGCTCACAAAGTGCAAATTACTGAAAATGTGGTGGTTGAAAAGTAGAATGATATTCAAGAAATTTAATGAGCAAATGAATATTACTAAGGTCTGGTGGAAGGTGAATGAATTCGCTCTGCTTTCATAGATTGTATGCCACGTCACCCAAAGTCTCCGACTTTTACTCCTGACACCTTGAAAACCTCAACTTGCCAGCCTTTTCTTGAATATGTAGCTAAAATCAAGTATGAGAACTACTGTCTTCCATTAGGATAGTTGGTGTATACGAGTTCAAATATTCACTCACCAAAACAACACTCTGACGTTACAAGACCTCTTAAAATACTCCAAAAATGACCATTTGATTAGCAATATCCATGTCGTTTTATTTTTCTACTTTAGGTCTCATCGTCCTTAACTGCTTACCCTCTTAATCAGATGTAGTAAAAGCGTTTACAGGACACACATCATAGAAAGAGAACTCAACAGACAGATTTCTTTATGGAGAAAACTTCAAACAGAGTAGCATATGAAGAGGAAGTTGGAGCAAGGTCAAGCACTCACCAGAGATTTTTAGAGTAAATTGTGCCGTGGGACAGTATTGAAATAGAAACTTCTCAGGCAGCAGGTTGAATCCTGGACATTTCACGTCTGTTAGGGACTTTAAACACTATTCCCTTTTAGACATACCAATTTGCTTTCCCTAGTTATTTTACTTTGTGTGGATTTTGATACCGTTGCTTGGTAAAGTTCGCATTGATATCAGGCTTTCATCATGACGTATTCACCGGTAAGACGCTCTGAATAGCCGCAAGCTCATGTAAAATAGTTTGACTGTATCTTCCATCTTATATAGTCATGGAATGACTTGAACTAGTGTTTAAACAAAGTAAATTCCCGTGTTAAAAAAAGTCAGGTAATAACTGAATGAACGAATTGGTACACAACTTGGTGACCGTGGAGAAAGCTGTTTCACATTATATTAGCTTATTCAATACAGCCCTCAGTAAGGAAGTAGCAGGTAGTAGTAGAACGCAGTTTAAGGCCTCCATTGTTACAGTATAAGGAAGGGAAATCAGAACTTCAGCACAACATTCTCAGCAAGGTTGGAATAAGGTCAACATTTACAAGCCAACAAACTCATTCAGAGATGAGCTGTTTCGGCTTAGGGACCCTATTGATCAGATCAAACAAAACAATTTGACCAACTTAGCATAGCTAAATAACTATGGGGTCCAAAGCATAATTCAAACCATCTGATTGGTGTCAGTAGCACCATCGAAGGATAAGATTTTAGCTAAATGTAGAAAAACAGTTTATTGTAGTGCATCCACTGACTCACAAACCTATAACAGAGTAGGATAAAAACTACCGAACTTAAGTACAACGTGGTTAGATGGAAAGAGAGACTGCATATAACGCCCAACACATGTAATAGGAATGACTCAACACTTACACTGAAGATGTGGAAAATTTTTATTACTAATATCAAAGAATATGAGGTAATAGGGCTACAAGAGTCGGATACCGAGAGCTGCATGATTATATTGATATGACCATAGGCAATAATTTGTGCGTGAAACGTTATCAAGTACATAATATTGTATCTTTATATGCTGTGTCAAATAAACAATGTGGTACTTATTACATGCTATCACAGTTTCTAAATTTTACACTTGTATTAATAAATCCTCTCATTTACAAACTGAAATCTGGAATACATAAAACACTTGAATAGAAAGTTCCTATGAAGGCAAGGAAATTAATGGTTTATCATGCATTATAGTAATCTAAAATCATTCATCATAAACGAGAAATGAAATACTATTGTTTGAAAAAATGCATAATGTTGAGTTTCATTCACAAGCTTTATGACTAGCAAAAAAATAAGTCCGGAATGATAACACCTGAAACCAGGTGTTCTAGACAGTTAAAACACTTGGACTTCCGCCAAATTCTAAAAAGCTTACTTGAAACATCTGTTTGAAAGACTGTTTATCAGCAAAATTAAGTTATCCGGAAGTGAAGTTTGTTTCCTTCGGAAAAAAGATCAACACAAACCGTGGCACTTTGGAAATAAGGATATTCAAATACCATTTTTCTTACCCCTGCATAACAGATTCTTTCTCCTATATTTGACTCTTTATTGTGAAAATACAATTAATTTGTTGTTGTAGTGCCATCTTATACCTAGTAACTAATTATGTGGTTGAGACTGGCCAAATGTTGGGATACACACAAACACAAAATTTACAAATCCAAATTTAGATGTGCGAGTAGTAACCCAAAATGTAATCATCTGATGTTTAATACTAAGATGGAATCAGTATAAACACTGAATGAAGTTTAAGATCAAGCTGAAGGAATAACCTAAATTTTATTACAGAAACATTATCGTCCTTTTTCAAACTAAGGAGCTAGGTTAAGTGATTTTGTTTGAACTCATTATTTGGAAACGTTATCTTTATAAACTTCTTTTAACTGTGAATAAATAAATAAGAACCCAAAGTCAGTAACTGCGTTGTTGCTCATTACTTAGCGCAAGCATATCTAAGACAATCACCATGAAACTTTGAAGCTTCCGAGGGTTACTTGGAAATCTTCCATTTTGACCCACTTAGTAACTGCATCAACTTTTTTGGTATGCATTTTCGTTTTAGACAAGACAAAAAGGCCCAAAAATACATAAACAAGCTCAAAAGTTTCATCCTTAATTGAAAATATTGGTGATATTCACCTGAGATTTTGAAAACAAGATGCATAAATGAATCATCCACATACTAAAGTTTAAGACTAATTACTATATTGAAGGAAGAATCCATTTACTGTGTATCAATAAGACTCTGTGGCCCAAATTTGAACAAGAAGTGTTCTTCAGAGTCTGATCATTTGGATTTCATGTTGTGTTTACGCATCCGTAAAAAGAATCCAGTGTGAATGGTCAAAAGTTTTTTTTTGAAGGTTGTGAGAACTCAAATTACCACAAAAGAATCATCGTAAAAAGATAAAAAGTTCAGATCAACTGAAAAACCTATTGTGACATGACATTTCCTAAGCTAAATGGTATAGTTGTAAATTTTCTTTCTTTTCAAAAAATTACCGGTACCTAAAAAGAAAAATAAACACCAAAACTATATCCTACAGCCTAAAGAAACATGTCGTCGGAAATCTTATTCTTGGCTTCAAACCCCTCCTAATATCAGTGATGAGTTATCACAAATTTGAAACCATAAATTCTGGTTACTTGTTGTGGATTAGCAGTGCTATTCTTGGCGAAAGATTCAAGAATTCCTTTTTACTTCCAGGCTAAACTCAACGAAATAAAAACCCTTTAATTGACTAACTAAATAAAAATTTACTCTAATCTGGTTTCTCAATAAATAATGACTTCTAATAAAGCTCACTGGCCACCTGTATCACTGACATTTAATCGTAGTACTACGTTTTTTCCTTTAGCTGGTCAAGCCAATTGACACAAAAGTTCGACTGTCACAAAAAGACGGATTACCTAGAGTTTGAATATTCTGTGAAAGCGTAAAATAAGAGCTCAGGTAAAGTTCGCTGCTTTTCTAGTATCTATGTTTTCTGCTTACTTGGTTCAACTTACACAAAATATTCTTTAAAAATCAGGTAAGTGAAAATCGTTCACACTATACTTTGATTAGAAGTCAACAAATTCAAACAAAAAGACACAGGCGATATAAACAGTCTCCAGCTGAGTAGGAAAATTGGTAGTATCTGAATTAGTAGACCCATTTAGTGAATTCATGTGTTTATATGACAACTTAATATATTTCCTGAGCTTTAATATATGAAAAACTGAGAATAAGTTTATCAAATACATTTATTTACTAATGACACTTAAGCTTATCAGTAAATAACGAAAATTTAGAGAGTAAAGATATATATTGGGCCCCTAGGACTTAAATGAACAATTTACTTTCATCCAATCACCATGCAGAGCAGGTTGGTCTCTATGCAAACACAGTGCTGCGGACTATTTCTAAAATAAAATGAGATGTGAGTGATGCAAGATGACCGAATCATTCATTTTGAGAGGAAACACTTGTTGGAGAAAAAAAAGGGTCACCCATAAGTTTAGCTTAGTTTGTATCGATATATACTGCATCTACTTCGGACTCAGAGTTTCAGCTTTTATGCACTCTCTGCAAACGTATTGTTGGTACAGTGAAAAAATTCATATGAAGATTGGGCTGCAAATAATACTCCAATAATAATCATCCTCAGAATATCTAAAACGGTTTCAGTTGATAAAAAATCAGCCAGAATAAAAATGACTGTTGCACGAAGTTTCAGTTATAGATATTTTTCGGCTTGAAGACCGAAAGTTGCCGGTATCTCAACAACCTTCTGTGAGGGGAGCAACCTGTAGTGCACATTCCTGGCACCAAAACGCAAATAAGGCTGAAATAAATAGATTAAATAAGACTAACTAAATAAACCCCTAGCTCGCCTCTGGAAGCTCAATGTGTTTTAAGTTTTGTTTCAACGCGCAAGCCTCTGAGCAAGCCTCAACGCCATTTTGCACTTCCTTTGGGCTGGTTAGCACACATACCTTCAGAGTTCCCAGTTCAACTGTACTAGCCATATAGGTTAAATAAACTTTTCCCCCTATTCACTACTATTACATTTATTCTAATTAAATATGTTGCTTCTTCGAATATATTCCTGAAACCGGTTTCTTTGATTTGTGTTTCGCTATCAATATTTACACGTTGGGTAAGGTACTGGTTAAGTAGTAACTAGAGCACACCAAGTTAAGTGGAGTTGGCCAAACGTTACGTAGTAGGAGTACAACCAGCACTCCCTATACGTTGATTTTAATCACTTAAGGTATAAACATCTAGGGATAAGGCTTCAGATAAACCTCATATATATAAACGACACACTTTATCTAAAGTAATCTTTTGGTTTTTTACATTGGTTTCATACTACTTTTGTTACTATGTCCTTATGTATGGTAGATTTTGAACTGAAACACCTTACTTACTTTTCCAAATATAAGTCATATTTCTTTCATAAAGAAAACGGCTTTCGACAGTATGTACTTGGGTGCACAAAGATAAATTATCAAGCCCCCTTTGTTCAAACGTCTTGCAAACTCTAGTGACAGAAAATTATCAAAATCCATACGTGCAACCATACTTTATGAATATGTATAATGCCGTATTGCGATTACTGATATCTGCACCTTGATTTTTGTTTGACATCGTTCAAAACTCAGGGTTTGGAACACTCATTCTTTGGTTCCCGAAAATGAAATGATATTATCAATTTTTACAACATCGATCACGTGTTATCTGATCATTGTGTGTTTCCATGCGGAAAGCGTCTATGACTTCATGCATATCTTGAGCAATTACCACCGTGAAACCGCATGATTCATGGCCACTTCAAAATTCAGCTGAGTTAGGCCACAGAAAGTCCAATTAAGTAGAGTATATGAGCTACTGAAAACGACTATCAATCGGTATCAAGTATAAACGTGAACCACCTAAAAAGGTTTATACCGTTAAGATTGATTGAAGAGAATTAATTTCACTTCATAGTCACCTAATGCATTTATGATGGTAAATTTTATGATTTCACCAGTATTTAGCATCATTTATGCTAACAGTCAAAAGTCGATTTACGTAAAGTAGTTTACTACTAATTAAACTAACCTTCATCCTGCTGCAATTCTACATTTATCATCACTAACTGTAAAACAGTAATAAAGGAGATGAATTTCATTTGTATATTCCATGAGCGACAGTGTTGTTACTGGACAGAAATAATAAATAGTGCATGCGCAATAACAAATGGTCAAGTATGAAATCATGACATCACAGAATTTAACCCTATTGACAAATACTAACAAAAGTTACCGTCAAACTTTGGATTGTTCGAATGGCAAGCAGTTTTATTTCTAGTATTTTCATCTGCCTCTTTCAAAACATATTTATCGTGAATCAATAGTGGTTATTCCTATAGCCTGAAGTGTCTTGAAAAGGCTGAAACAGTAACAATGAGTTCTCTGGTAATATTGACGTCAAGCATGGTCAGTAAGAAGTCTATAAGCTCCTTTAGAAGGGCTAGACTGCACCCTAGGAACTATAAGATGTCAGAGGGAATTCTACAGTTTTCAAATGCTAACTCTTCTAGTGTTAGCATAGATCTACTTTCCTGCCCCTAATACTATCCTCCCAAACTACTACCTAGTGGGTAATAGTAATGAATAGAGCATAAGAAGGGTAAGGTGGTGTATAAGGTGTTATGAACTGAGTAACTAACTGATAATATTCCCACTGCCCCCTCTCTATTGCGTACGTTGCAGTTTAAGTGTCTAAGCGACCAAAGTACAGTCGTTACAGTATTTCAAACGCTTATGGCGTGGCTATTCTTCGAAAATGTTCTAGAAAGGTGATATATTTTCCGAAGTAGGGATAAATTATAGGCGCGCCCTCTAGTTACCTATATATATATATATATATAAAGTTGGGTGGTAATAAACTTGAGCTTAACCCACCGATTTAAAAAAATCCCTTCGCTCGGTATGAGAAGTTCACAGCCTGGTAACGCTGGAAAGAACTCTAGATATATCACTGGAAATAACCTCAGGATCCATTAAACTGTTCACGTAACAGCTAGTTTTTAACTTCTTGAGGGGTGTAGTTAGATGCTGGGTTGTACTCAGGTCACTGTGAAAGATACAACGATTGCCAATATTGGCTACATCTAAATGTAAACATCATCTGTACATGAAATTGGATGCAAATTTAAGGATAGAAGTGTACCATCACAAAGACGAAACATGGTAATGAAGCAACATTGGAATCTTGGGGTATGTTACTGAGCATCATAAGGTGATTACAACTCTAAATGACTGCAAACGATAAATGAAGTAATCTCCAAGCCAGATTAGTGGCCTCCTATCCACCTGACATTAGATGCTGATTAATCCTCTAGAATGTCTCTCAGTAGCCAAACAGCCCAAGCATGTAAGTTTAATTCTGTGTTCTTTTAGGTGAGATACTTCAAACGCAGTACTGCAGTCGGACAAAACTAAGCGTTACCAAGCTATCTTAAAATGCTCAACTGTTCATGATACCGTTAAGTGTCCTTAGTTATGGTTGGCATTCTCAATGATAATACTCGTTTCAGAAATGCACGCCACCCTTGCAAACACGGTTGATTTGGTAACTCCGATCGTAACTGGCTCTCAGGCTTATGAAAAGAGATTAGATGACTGTTCCGGAAGTACCATGAGCAAATTCCAGTTCATTACCAAAGAGATTTGGTTATCCACAGACACTTTTATCCACAAACGCCTGCCGAAACACAGGTGTAATAATGTTGCAGGAAATATGGCTTCATGACCTGTTTGATGATTTAATGTACTGAAGTGGTTTCAAATTATTTCAACAAGATCAAAGCCGTTCCAAAAAGAAATATGGTGCAGGTTTAGCAGCATTTGTCAACTCCAACTGGTCTACCCGCAACCGTGTACGCTTTGGCTTCTCCAACGAAAAAATTGTGTGCATTACAATCAAATATCGTCGTAAACATATGAGTAACTGCACACACATATACATAACGAACATTTATGCCTGCAGTTTCCCAGATTTGTTGGATTTAGACGACGACTTCACTAAATTTGCTACTCCGATTCCGGTTAAATCCTGTTCTATAGTCTGTGGAAATTTTAACTCATGTGACCACTACTTAAATATTTCATTGGGTGGTGAAAATATAGTTAGCTTTTCTGCTAGTCTTTACAGCACACTAGGTTTACAATTTACAGATGACTATAGCACATATGTGACCTGCGAATGGGCTTCGTTGCTGAATTTCGACCACTGCATCGGACATGTTCCGCCTAAAGTGAATATCAAATTACACAAGAAAGCTCTAGGATGCCTTTGCAAGAAAGTCCAGATGCTATCCACAGGGTAGTATATTACGTTTGAGAAGCCTGTTGGGGGAAACAGACGGGGACCTGCCTGTCTATGAAGTTTTAAGAAACGGCATCACCAATATCACAAGCTTTGTCGGATTCTGTCTCGATATTTGCTACCGCACAGAAACAATCTGCAGACTTTCATCTCTTCACCTCCAGGAGATCTGGTGGGAAGAGGGGAGGTTTTATAAGACGAGAGACCACTGTCGCATTAAAAGACTTAACTACCTAATCAGGTCTGAAATGCAGGGTCCAAATACTGTGCACCGCCAGAAATTTCCATCTTGTAAAAATACTATGTGGAAATTATTTAAAGAGCTTACTAGTGGTAAACAGGTAACAAAGGAAAATTTTTCGCACGTCTGCGCGTTAAACAAGTCATTCACAGGTCTGCAGGCTGATTCCATCCTAACTAGTGTCCAAAGTCGAATAGATAGTAGGTTTCCCGGACTTTATGGGAATGAAGTATTTCAATGCGGTAATCGGTGAATCCATCCCATAGTTTATGTCCTGATGGTATTTCGAGCATATACAGAGAGTTTGCAGATAACTTATTACATCCCAGCATAGATATCGTCGGCGCATTTTCTTCTAAAAACAGAAAAGCAGCTGCCTGGGAGCAGGTCAAAGTTTAACTCAGTTCGGTCATCTGAATCGGATGTTAAGTTCCGAACCATTGCAAATAGTTTACTGGCGCCATTTTATCCACTGTAGCTGTTAACAGTATACAACAATGCGGAGTAATACCTACAACTTCATCTATAGGTGTGGAGTCCCTGACCTTAAGATCCAAAGCAATTTGAATACTATCCAAGGAGCAACTGGATGCGATACAATGCATTGTTGTGGAAGTATGTCTAATTTAGCATGAACGATTAAAATGGGTCGTTTCATCAGGGCGGACATATACTTTCATGACTTTTTCATCATTGCCTACATAGTATACCTCGGCGTTTCAATGCACCTGCAGATGCATGTCCTTTGAATGATACACTGAATCTACCGTAGTACTTATATCAGTACACATGGTCCTTCAAATGAAAACGCTTAGGCTATTTGGCCAACATAACTTTTATTGAGAACAATTTGCTGAATTACTTCGCTCTCTTTTCGAATGATGCTTCCACATATTCGTCTGACACATCTTTCGTTTCTGCCAGATAACCTAAGGGCATGACGACAACTCAACATTTAACCTAAAGCCCTGCATTCGCTTATGGTGTAAGATCCTCTGTCTTTCAGACTGGGGATTTCCACTACCTGGGATTGAAAAGAGGCAGCGAAAACATTATCAAAGATTTTAAACACTCAATATTATAACCGTGTCTGTAAAATGATATGCACCTATAGGTTCAGGAACAAATTGTTGCTGCAGTTGTCATTATTTTCATAAACTCTCCTATTGTGAAGGCAATGGAGAAATTAATTCTCCCTATGCTGGAACCTTCAGCGGAGGGTCTCAGAGATCCAAAACAATTTGCTCACAAACACAGGAGAGGCATTTTAGATACCGTCACTGCCTTACAACATTATATTGCTTCTAGTCCAGACAGAGATCTTCAGCATGTTCGTTGTTCCCTCTTGGATTACTCATCAGCCTTTGGCTCCATTCCTAGACCACTCTTACTAGGTAAGCCTGCCATACCTCACACTGAGCCAGGAGCCATAAAGTGGCCGCATTCTTGAGGCCAGAATTACGGAGATAGCAGTTAAAAACGACGCTGTTCAACGTGCTCAACAATAATGTCGTCGCACCTAGTCGGCATAGATTTCTGAGGCCACATCGCAGCACGTTTGAAATTGTGTCACATTTTAACGTGATTTAGTGAGTGTATCATAACTTTAATATTAACGTCATCACAAAGCTTTTTAATTCTCAAATGACTCATCACACATCAGACATGCAACTAGATATGGTTCATGCATGTAAAAAGGCAAGGACACAACTGTCTGTGGAGCAGTGCACCGACAATACCCAAATGTTGGTGACACCAAAGGCAGATTCCGGTTGCAACAGCATAAGTGAGTCAGTTTATACTCCAGTTATGCCCAGTGGAAGAAGGACTGCGTTCGATAAGACAGTCAACGTTAATAATAACTGAAACAACTCTGCACGCCCAACATGTAATTAGACCACGTAGCGTCATACACTTCCCCAAAATCAATAGACTAGGGTTCGATGACACTCGGCACTTGTGCTGACCTTGATAGTTTAACTGGACTTGCCAAGCCGAAGGCACCCGGTCAAGCATCCTTGACATTTTGCACGCTGTCGCGTTACGTTGCACTGCTCGTATTCGGCTCTCTAGCCAGTTGATTAGAACGCATCGGTATTCTGGCACAACCACCCAAATATACTATTCCATCCGACTACGCTGTCGTGTTCTCCTTTGATCTCGTATTCGTGGATATACAGCAAGTCCGAATAATCAGTGACTGGTCTTTGCGCCTGTCAAGTTCGCACCAGGACAAATCCTGAATTGGTAAGCCCGACGTGATCACATATCCCCACCAATAACAAATATTGAATTGGTGAGCCTGTTCCATTTTGTGTTTGTTTATTGTTTTCATTTCGATAACATTTATATGTCCATTTACTATACTTACTTATGTCTGACCACACTCCCAAGCCTCTCTATACTAAGCCGACTACGAGCACAATCCAACTCGTGCCATATTGGCCAGACAATGTGGAAACATGGTTTCTGTATGCCGAGGAG